CGACGACTTCCAACCAGGAGGTTCCTGGATAGCAAGTTTCTGGTAGTTTCGGTACATAGTCTGCTCCTGATTGACGGTGAAGGGTCCAGCTTGCTGACAGCAGGGGCAGGAGCTTGGCTTAACCTAGGATACCACCCACTCACCCACAACGAGGAGGATGTGGAATAGAATGGAACATAATAACAACCTCCGCGGTGTTGCTTTGCTTGAATGGTCCCAAAGTTGCTTGACAGGAGCCACAGGTGTATTTCACCATCCTTAATTGTGGGAATATCGTTGATCGTCGTGTGACGACCTGGGAAACGTATTATGCACGACAACGTAGAGCGCTCAACGCAGCAGGTCCCCACGCCACTGACTCGCACGAGCCTACGAGACCCATTCTTTACCTTGCCTTTGCCACCACCGGCCAAAATTCTCACTGGTTGAGATGGGTTTGTCTCAAATCACGCAGTGTGTCGGTGATAGGCAAGTCGCGCACTCGCACGTGGATCTCGTCCTTAATTTCCCCTAATCGAGGATATAAAGTCATCCAGAGGTGGATGTAGCACGGAGGATAAGCACAGTATTTTGGAAAATGGTCAGAGGAAAGCACAAGTTCATTAGCCACCTCATCGAATATCCTACAACTTAGAATCGAACCTGATAAATGCAAGAAGGGGGTGGCTTGCTCGATAATGTCACGGGGAGCATCAGCGACCCATATAGCAAGAATTGGGACTTTGGAGCTGAGCGCTTGATAAGAGATTTCAAAACTTGCCTACGCAGATTATTGATGTTGCCAAAAAGTGTGAGCGCCATCCAGGGATAACCAGATTGTTGGCACACATCGCACGAATCTTTGCAATTTGTTCTTTATCCGATTCCAGGAATGCGCGAAATCTATGACACTAATCTTGGTGTAAATTATGTTTTGTCGACCAACCGTTGCTTAATTTCCGTGCGTGTCCGACTTTGCGCTATCCACCTAATCGTCATGTGTCCTCTCGTCTTATTTTTTGCTAGTTTCGCCGGTGCTTGCTCACGGAGAGACATGTCCATCGCTTCGAGATTAATTGAAGTGGAAATCTCTTTGGTATTATCTTGAAAACGCACAGTTTGCACTCTCACGCGCCTTCGTCCGCGCTCCACTTCATCTGAGTAGCACCATATGTAAAGCTAATTTAACCAGACGCACCTCGACCCCGAAATC